ATAGCGACCTTAATCCGTGCAAGAGGGCTGGTTGTTATGCGAAATGTTCGGTATGCGAATGAATTTTCCCCATAAGAAATAATGGAAATCAAATTAATCCGTGCAAGACACCCAAAAGTATGAAAAAAAAAAATTTACCACATGAAATATACATTTTCCTACACACAAAGAGAAGGATACATGCACAATAGTAGAGTAGTACATGCACAATATATATTGTGCATGTACTACTCTACTAAATGAAGAATAAATGACACTTACCTTTATTGAAGATGCAGCAATGACTGATGAGACACTGTGTCCTGGGAGTGCCTTTTCCTCCTGAGTACTGTAGGTCCTGTTAGGTATTTTCTTCCAGAACAGGCCTTATCACACTGTGTATGCCACTACGATTCTTAAATCTCTCAAACCAACCTTTGCTGGCTCTAAATTCACCAATATGAGCACTAGTTCCAGGCATTTTCCCTGTTCACCTGGGTGTTAGTCGACTGGTGTGGGTTGCATCCTGGGAGACAAGATTAAGGACCCCAATGGAAATAAGTTAGACAGTCTTCGATGACACTGACTTTTTTGGGTTATCCTGGGTGGCAAATCCTCTGGGGTTAATTGTTTCTTAGTATTCTCAATAAGCCACACCAACAACGGTGCTACAGCAGCAGCAGCAGCTGACGGTGGTACAGTAGCAACAGACGATGCTACAGCAGCAACAGACGATGCTACAGCAGCAGCAGACGATGCTACAGCAGCAGCAGACGATGCTACAGCAGCAGCAGACGATGCTACAGCAGCAGCAGATGGTGCTACAGCAGCAGCAGACGATGCTGCAGCAGCAGCAGACGATGCTACAGCAGCAGCAGACGGTGCTACAGCAGCAGCAGACGATGCTACAGCAGCAGCAGACGGTACTACAGCAGCAGCATCAGCTGACAGTGCAGCAGCAGCTGACGGTGGTACAGCAGCAGCTGACAGTGCAGCAGCAGCTGACGATGGTACAGCAGCAGCTGTACCACCAATAGTAGCGATGGTTGATTGGGGTTTATTATACAACCTGGCCAGCTCGGAGACACGCACTCCACTTTCATACTTATCAATGATCTTTTTCTTCATCTCCATAGTAATTCTCACCCTTATTGCTGTAGGGTTGGCACTAGAAGCTTTCTTGGGGCCCATGGTCACTTATTTTCCAGAAAAAATCACCAAAAACACTGTAATAATACGAAATGTTCCGATTGTATGCTTGGATGTTACCGCAGAGGCTGGCTGGTAAACAATGCCACCGGCGGAACATGTGAGCGTGGCTCAGGCCGCGCATTGGACGCATCTCGGACGAAGGGCGGTGAGCGGGTTTTTGGGCGGTATGTGAGGCAAAATTTTTGCGATCAAAGCGTCCGGTATGCGGATTGTACGGTATGCGATGCGTCCGGTATGCGGGGGTCCACTGTATATTGTAGGAAATATAATACAATATTGCTTCCTTAACTTGTTGAACCATGAACAGTCATAAAATACATGAAAATGTCGTAAAATATTGTACTAAAATACATACATGTTATAGTTTAATAACATGTATGTTATTAAATACCACTGCCTCCACCAGTGCCTCAACCACTGCGGCACATTGCTCGTATTTTGGTACAATTTCTTTCTTCAATTCTATCGTGTTTCTCAATTTCTTTACCAAAGGGCTGGCACTAGCAAGTTTCTTTGGGCCCATGGTTAATTATGTGGCAGTCGCATTCAATCTACAAGCACCAAACACAGTGAATTATTGTGAAATGTTTGGAAGAGCATGGAGACTAATGCTCACCCCAGCATAAACAAAGGCACACTGACTGACGATGCCTCAACCACTTCCTCCACCACTGCTTCAACCCTCGTATTTTTGTACAGTTTCCTTCTTCAATTCTATAGTATTATTATTATTGTTAATACAATAGAATTGAAGAAGGGAATAGTACAAAAATACAAGGGTTGAAGCAGTGGTGGAAGAAGTGGTTGATGCATTGTCAGTGTGGCTTTGTTTATGCTGGAGTGAACATTAGTCTCCACACACTTCCAAACATTTCACAATAATTCATTGTGTTTGGTGCTAATAATAATAATAATACATATTAATAATAACATGTATTATTATTATTAATAACATATATCTTATTAAATACCACTGCCTCAACCACTGCCTCAATTGCTGCCTCAACTGCTGCCTCAACCACTGCCTCAACCGCTGCCTCAACCGCTGCCTCAACCGCTGCCTCAACCGCTGCCTCTACCACTCCAGTCGCACTCAATCTACAAGCACCAAACACAGTGAATTATTGTGAAATGTTTGGAAGAGTGTGGAGACTAATGCTCACTCCAGCATAAACAAGGCACTCTGACTGACGATGCATCAACCACTTCTTCCACCACTGCTTCAACCCTCATATTTTTGTACAATTTCCTTCAATTTTATTGTATTATTATTATTATTATTATTATTATTATTATTAGCAGTAGCAGAAATGTTTGATTCTTTGCCGTGTTCAAGAGTAAACATATGATGTCACCGTCCAATACCTGTCCGAATAGCCATTCCAATGTTCAGTCATGAATGGGTTGACATTATTTATACTGTAGTTTAATAGCAAATAACGAACAAAACACTAGCCACACTGAGTGGTGGGAGGGCTGGCCGCCAGTTGTTGGGGTCTGAGGGAGGGTAGTAGGGACTCACGGGTGTTGGGAAACTTAAATATGATTTGGCAGCTGGGAATTTGGCGGTTGAGAATTCGCGAATGTGTGAAGTTGAAAACGCGAATGTTGAGGGAGACCTCTATATGTATGTTAAACCATAATTATTTGTTAGAAAAAAAAAAGAATTTTTTTTTTTTTTTTTTTTTTTTTTTTTTTTTTTTTTTTTTTTTTTTTTTTTTTTTTTTTTTTTTTTCAATATTTTTGTGAGTCTGGAACGGATTAATTGTATTTACATTATTTCTTATGGGAAATATTGCTTCGACGTTCAGCCATTTTGAGTTTAGGCCTAGCTCCTGGAACAGATTACAGCCAAAACTTGGGGTTCCACTGTTATCTCATGAACTAAGCTAATATATGCAAGTCCTGAGCAGGTGGTAATCAGTTGTGCTGGTGGAATGTAGCTTTTAGGATTCACTCTGTGGATATGCCAGTGAAGCATGTAAATGACTTAGTTGCTGGCAGGCGGGACTCTGAATAGTCCACTTTCAGCACTCACACAGGTTTCGATGATTCACTGTTAGTGCAGTGGGGTGAAACTTGCTGGTAGCATGATGAAGGTGGCTTGTAGGTGTTGACAACAACAGATGGGTATTCAACAACACTTTTGGTATCTGTAAGATGTGAAAGTCTCTGATCTGCTGCATAGACCCAGCTGCCTGCCTTGTCTCACCAGTGTCGAGTGACCCAGTTTGATCAACAAGGCTAGGAAAGAAATAATAAAAAGTTAAAACCCAAACAAGCAGTCAGTCACATGATAGGCAGAAGGCCTTTAAAATTTAAGAAATGGTAAGGACAAAGAAAACTTACGTTTAAATGCGTAAGTCATATCAAGTCCAATTAAATTAATAAACCAAAATCCCAACACATATAACAGGAAACAAGAGTGGAACTCTGTACTTACAGACTTGATGGGAGCAGAAAGCCAAGTAATTTGAGCTCGCCAGGAGGGTCCCATGTTAACTCCCAATGGGTGGAGAAAGAGGGGGGGCAAGAGGTAACGATACACCCCTTGCTGAATGAGCATTCAACTAATTATACTACCATCACCACTCATTCATGCTTCCACTTTTATCTAATGAACTTTTCCCTCACACTGCTGTATAGAGGGGTAAAGTAAGTTGGAAGGAGGCTGTAAAGGAAGTTTTTGTATGCAAGGGCTTTTCATCCAACCAGCGTTGTATGTGTGTTAGATAGGAGTGGAGACCAGTAGTTTTTATGACTTGACATACCATTTAGAGTGTGAGCAAGGTAACATTTTTGAAGTGATTCAGGGAAACCAATTAGCCAGACTCGAGTCCTGCGAGTTGGAAGTGCAGTGCCTGCACACTGAAGGAGGGGGTGGGGATATTGCAGTTTGGAAGGGCAACTGAGCTATAATGTCGGCATTCCTCTGGCAAGACAGTGATGGAGTTAGTGATGGGGAAGGTGCTTCTTCTTTTTTGGGTCACCCTATCTTAGTGGTAGACAGCAGGTATGTTAAAAAAATTAAGATTAAATTGAGTGAAACCTGATAATTATTTAGAGAGATATGAAGGTGGTGTTGGTGATTGTTTTATGGCAACATGAGTATCTGCTGCATGAAAAAAGTTGCTGTTTTTTTTTTTTTTCTCTCAAATTATTTTTTGACTCATGTTTACACTCATATTTATTATCATATTTCATTTATATATATTGTTCACTAAATGGTGTGAATGGCATTTACTGGCTCCCACAATGCCCTGCACACATGATTTTTTTATACTGCTCACATGGTGCAGACCTATGTTTAGAGTGAAGTCCTAACTAGGCCAGTCTGGACCATTTGGAGGCCTCAGAATAGTTTCTTGTCTTTTATATCTGACACAATGTGGCACATGCTGCAACAAAGTTTCCTCCCTCTCTTCCATTTCCTTCCTTGCTCTCTCATCATATCTGACAAAACACTTTATATATGGCATACACCATCTCATGCCTTGGTAAGGGCATGAAGTGGCTGGGCATATGGTGTAGGAATGGAGGGGGATGAGGCTAATAAGTTCCAAGGTGTTCTAGTTGTAAGTTCGGATGTCAGTAAGCCTGGCATTTGCAGGACACATTTAATTTTGCATAATCTCTTATATACCTGTAGCACATTTTACAATAGAATCATGCTAGTGAAACCTTGTTGCACCATGAATACCCTGTTTGTACTTTCTTAAAAAATTGTCCCAACAATTTATGGTGTTAAATGAAGTGAATTATGGCAAGTGAAATTTAGTGTGGGTTGAAGTGCATTATTTTCTTTTCAGTGTGTAGAAAATCTTATGGAAGGTGCACGGGAATTACCTAGTGAACCTGAACTAAATCAGTTGGCTTTGCGCTTTCGAGATTGCCACCTCATCGTTCTTAAAGCTATGGCTGATCACCGCTCTTATGGTATGATCTGGACATCAAAGAATCTTACAAAGTAAGTATTTAAGATATCAGATAAACTCTCAAAAAAAGTCACACAGTTGAAGTAAAAACTGGATGGCAGTTTGATCACTTTTTCGTTAACATTTTTGAACTTGTGATTTTTGCCCTCAGCAGTATTCTCATATGTTGAAACTTAAGGTAGATTATGTAAACAAGAACTTTTTTTTTTAAGGTGAATTATAAACTAAAGTTTGAATTTTTTCCTGCTCTACAGGGGTCATCCTAGGAAAGGATGGAGGGAGGGGATAAAAGAGGTTTTGTGTGCAGTGAGCTTGGACATGTATGAGGTATGTGTGAGCATATTAGATAGGAATGAATGGAGACAAATGGTTTTTGGGAGCTGATGAGCCATTGGAGTGTGAGCAGGGTAGTATTTTATGAAGGAATTCAGGGAAACCAGTTAGCCAGACTTGAGTCTTGGAGGTGGGAAGTACAATGCCTGCGCTTTAAAGGAGGGGTTTGGGACATTGGGTGTTTGGAGTGACATCTAAACTTTTATATGTGGGCACCTCTTCGAAGACAGTGATTGTGTGAATGATGGTAAAAGTGTTTCTTTTGTGGGTCACCCTTCCTCGGTGGGAGACAGCTGACTGGTTGAAAAAAAAAATTATGAAGTTTCATCCATCAGGGATTATCAGTTCGTATAGAGAATAACATGACTTTGGTGTATGTATGGATTATTTTTTTTTAACAAGTCGGCCGTCTTCCACAGAAGCAGGGTGACCCAAAAAGAAAGAAAATCTCCAAAAAGAATATACTTTCATCATCATTCAACACTTTCACCTCACTCACACATAATCACTGTTTTTGCAGAGGTGCTCAAAATGCAACAGATTAGAAGCATATACGTATAAAGATGCACAATATATCCCTCCAAACTACCAATATCCCAAACCCCTCCATTAAAGTGCAGGCATTGTACTATCCATTTCTAGGACTCAAGTCCGGCTATATAAAAATAACCAGGTTTCCTGAATCCCTTCACTATTACCCTGCTCACATGCCAACAGCTCGTCAGGTCCCAAATACCATTCGTCTCCATTCAGTCCTATCTAACATGCTCATGCATGCTTGCTGGAAGTCCAAGCCCCTCACCCACAAAACTTCCTTTACACCCCCCCCCCCCCCATCATTTCCAAGGACAACCCCAATTACGCTTTCCTTCCCCCACAGATTTATACGCTCTCAATGTCATTTTACTTTGACCCGTTCTCTCTAAATGACCAAACCACCTCAACAACCCCTCTTCAGCCCTCTGACTAATACTTTTATTAACTCCATACTTTCTCCTAATTTCCACACTCTGAATTTTCTGCATAATATTTACACCACACATTTACCCATATAAGAGTGTTGGTACCACTGTACTTTCATATATTCCCTTCTTTGACTCCATAGATAACGTTTTTTCTCTCCACATATACCTCAACCCACCACTCACCTTTTTTCTTTCATCAATTCTATGATTAACCTCATCCTTCATAAATCCATCCGCTGACACGTCAACTCCCAAATATCTGAAAACACTCACTTCTTCCATACTCCTCCTCTCCAATTTGATATCCAATTTTTCTTTAAATCATTTAATACCCTCATCACCTTACTCTTTTCTATCTTCACTTTCAACTTTCTACCTTTACACACACTCCCAAACTCATCCACTAACGTTTGCAATTTTTCTTTAGAATCTCCTATAAGCATAGCATCATCAGCAAAAAGTAACTGTCAATTCCCATTTTGTATTTGATTCCCCATAATTTAATCCCACCCCTCTCCCGAACACCCATTTACTTTTACAACCCCATCTATAAATATATTAACCCTTTAAGGGTCGACAGGCCCTCTCAGAGACTTGTTCTCAGGGTTGGCCAAATTTCAAAAAAAAAAAAATATTTTTTCTTGTGAAAAGATAGAGAATCTTTTCCTGATCATAATGACACCAAAAGTATGAAATTTGAAAGATAACTTACAGAATTATGCTCTCGCGAAGTTAGCGGTCTCGATGATGTTTGCGCATCAGAGATTTTGCCCACTTTGAGCCCTATTTTTGGCCAATTCCAGTGTACTTGTTGACAAAAATCATAACTATTTCGCTAGAACTCCATTTTTTTCTATCGAATGAGTACAAGAAGCCACCCATTTACCAATTTCAACTATCCAATACAGTGGTCAGAATTTAGCCATTTTGCCAATTTCACACAAATTTCAAAAGATGCCAATTTCCAAATAGGGTCCAGAATAAACAAGAAAGACATTCCTCGCACTAAAATAACATTTCCTCTGTTCATTAGTCACGTCCCCATGCCCCTCTTACATTCTTTTGCTTTCCACTTTGAATTTTTATTCTCACAAAAAATAGAAGATTTACTGTTATGCAGACTACTGCATTAGTGTAGAAATGGTATAAATAATATCAGCGCATTTGTGAAAGAATATTAGACTCACCAGTTGACGTGTATTGGATGCATAGCTTGATTTGTTTGCTTTTGAACTTTGGTAAAAATCGAACATTTTTTGCTAATTTGACCTCAATTTCAAGGTGCTTTTCTTTGTAAAACCAGTCAAAATCATCTCAATTTCTGTAACATGCCATACAAAAATACAGTGCAAAGTCGCTGTTTTAATCCAAAAACATGGTCAAAGTTTTTTTTTTTCATTACGCACTGTGTGCTGCAGGATTTTTTTTTATACTGTTCACATTGACCACATAGACCCATTCTTTCATGTGTAGGCCTACCAGCTTTCTCTCACTAGATTTGAGGGCGCTAGAATTTAGGCGTACTAGTACGTCAAAATCCCTGGTGCGTAAGCCGTACTAGTACATCCGAATCCCTGAAAGGGTTAAACAACCATGTTTAATAATGTTGTATGTGAATACCCAGCCGAGAAGGTGAGGTTGGACGATCGTGGTGTCAGGTTTAGGGAGAATAAGCTGTGCTAAGATTTTGGATCCTGGCCATTAGCCTGTCAGAGTTCAGGCTCCTTAGCTCAGGAACAAGCTTTGTTGCATACTACAGTTTTTTAACATGCTTTTTCAGGTGTGGGTTCCATACTGGTACTGCATAATTCAAGATGGGAGTAACATTTTTTTTTCATGTGTATTTTTTATTAACACTGGCCATTTCCCAGCAAGGCAGGGTGACCCAAAAAAAGAAGAAACATTTCATCATCATTCACTCCATCACTGTCTTGCCAGAGGTGTACTTACACTATATTTAAAAAAAAACTGCAACACATCAGCATCCCTCCTTCAGAGTTCAGGCACTGTCTTCCCACCTCCAGGACTCATGTCAGGCTAAGCGATTTCCCTGAATCCCTTCATAATGTTACTTTGCTGACACTCCAACAGCACGTCAAGTCATAAAAACTATTTGTCTCCACTTGACTTACTCCTGTCTGAAATGCTTGTGCACATTTGCTGAAAGTCCAATCCTCTCACACACAAAACCTCCATTACCCCTTCCTGCCAACCTTTCCTAGGATGACCTCTATCCTGCTTTCTTTCTACTACAGATTTATATGCCCTGCAAGTCATTCTATTTTGTTCCACCTCTCTAAATGTCCAAACCACTTCAACAACCCTTCCTCTGTCCTGGATAATACTTTTAGAAACCCCACACCTCCTAATCTTCTTGTTTCTCTGCATTATATTCACACCACACATTGCCCTCAGACATGACATCTCCACTACCTCCAGCCTTCTTGTTGCAATATTTACCACTAATGCTGCTTCACACCCATATAAGCATTGGTGCCATTATACTCTCATACATTTCCCTCTTTGCTTCCATGGATAACATTTTTGGTCTCCACAGACTCCTCAGTACTCCACTAACCTTTTCCCCCTCATCAATTCTATGATTCACCTCGTCTTTCATAGACCCATCTGCTTACAAGTCCACTCACTAATATCTGAATATATTCACTTCCTCCCTACTTACTCCCTCCAGTCAAATATCCAATCTTTCATTACCTAAAATTTTTTGTTATCCTCATTACCTTGCTCTTTCCTATGTTCACTAACCCTTTCAGGGTTTTGGACGTACTAGTACGGCTTAAGCACCAGGGGTTTTGACGTATTAGTATGCCTAAATTCTAGTGCCCTCAAATCTAGCAAGAGAAAGCTGGTAGGCCTACATATGAAAGAATGGGTCTATGTGGTCAGTGTGCGCAGTATAAAAAAAATCCTGCAGCACACAGTGCGTAATAGGAAAAAAAAAATTTGACCATGTTTTTGGATTAAAACAGCGACTTTGCACTGTATTTTTGTATGGTATTTATTGTTGTATTCTAGTTTTCCTGGTCTCATTTTATAGAATGGAAGGCATATTACAGAAATTGAGATGATTTTGACTGGTTTTACAATGAAAAGTACCTTGAAATTGAGCTCAAAGTAGCAGACATGTTCGATTTTTACCAAAGTTCAAAAGTAAACATATCATGCTAAGCGTCCAATACACATCAACTGGTGAGCCTAATATTCTTTAACAAGTGCTCTGATATTATTTATACCATTTCTACACTAATGCAGTAGTCTGCATAACAGTAAATCTTCTATTTTTTGTGAGAATAAAAATTCAAAGTGGAAAGCAAAAGAATGTAAGGGGGGCCTGGGGATGTGACTAATGAACAGAGGAAATGTTATTTTAGTGCGAGGAATGTCTTGTTTATTCTGGACCCTATTCGGAAATTGGCATCTTTTGAAATTTGTGTGAAATTGGCAAAATGGCTGAATTCTGACCACTGTATTGGATAGTTGAAATCGGTAAATGGTTGGTTTCTTGTACTCATTCGATAGAAAAAATGGAGTTCTAGCGAAATAGTTATGATTTTCATTACCTAACATAATACTCCATTCTACTGATTACACAGCAACACAGTAAATGACCATATGACCTGTCTGTAATACTCATTTATACTAAATTGTTATCTGTTTTACAAAAATTTTTGTACCACTGAATATATCATTGCTTAGTTAATCTTAAGTTAATT